AAACAACATCAAATCCCACTGTCAGAGACTACAGACCTATCAGTCTGATTAATTGTATTTTCAAAATTTTTACGAAAATTTTAGCTAATAGATTAGCTCCTATCATGAAGGATCTGGTTGCTCCAACTCAATCTGCATTCCAAGAAGGAAAATCTACTCTTGATTCTGTTTTAATAGCTAATGAAATGATTCATTTCTGCTCTAAAAAGAAAAAAAGAGGTGGCCATGTTTAAGATTGATTTTGCTAAAGCCTTTGATTCCATAAGCTGGAGCTTCCTTATTAATTTGTTAAAGGCTAGAGGATTTGGTGAAAAATGGTGCTCTTGGATTTATCACATTATTTCTTCATCCAATTGTGCAGTACTTGTCAATGGATCTCCTTCCAAATTTTTTAAATGTCATAGAGGCCTTAAACAAGGAGATCCACTTTCTCCTCTGTTATTCAACATATCTGCTGATGTTCTGAGTAAAATGATTATGTGTAATGTGGAAGAGGGCGTTTTCTCTAGCCTGCATATTAAGGAACCTCTTAACTTCATTAGAAGTTTACAATTTGCAGATGATACTCTTATTTTTGTTAAGAGTACATACAAAGACATTTCTGTTCTAAAGACTCTCCTCTACATCTTTGAAGATATTTAGGAAAAATTTTCTATGGACAGGTAACAACCAATCCAAACCCTTCAAATGCTTAGTCAATTGGAAAAGGGTATGTCTGAGTAAATCAGAAGGTGGTCTGGGAGTGAAAGATCTGCAATTGTTTAATATCTCATTACTATCTAAATGGTTATGGAAATGCTTTGATAGAGATTCTTTCATAGGTGCTTTTCTTTTCCAATTATATGTCAGAAAGGTTTCTTCACTGCAACTATCTAACAGTAATACCCAGAATTCTATGGTTTGGAATGATATCATTTCAAATAAAGAAGCTTTCCTCCATCTTATATCATGGTCCCTAGGAATTGGTACAAATATCAGATTTTGGGAGGATAAATGGATTGGTAATAATACTTTATCAAGTCTATATCCAGCTATTTACAGTCTTGTCTTATCCTCTAATGTATCTATTCATAGTCAAGGACTGTTCCATAACAATACATGGCAATGGCATCCTATTTTAAGAAGAAGTATTTCTCCAGTTGCAAACTCAGCCAAATCTGATCTTATAAAACTTCTTGGCTCCTTCAAAGTAAATAATGAAGTCGATGTTCCTAAATGGTCTCTTACCTCAAATGGTTGCTTTTCAGTCAAATCATTCTATGACTTCTTAAACACTAGAGGTGTTAAGTTTGCATTTCAGAAAGTTGTATGGAATCCTATTTTACCAAGCAAAGTTCAGATTTTCTCATGGTTGCTATCTATGAATCGTCTACATACAAAGGATAATCTCATTAAGAAAGGTTGGCAAGGTGACTCCTTATGTATTTTCTGTGGCATTCAATCGGAAACTTGCAATCATATCTTCTTTTCATGTAGTACAGCAAAAAAAGTTTGGAAACACTTCAGAGATTACCGCTTACCTTTTGTTTGGCCTACATCTCTTGATTGTCTCTTATCATCTGTTGAATCTCTTCATAACGAGGAAGGTGTTATGTGGCGATCTATATTTTCAGCAGTTTGTTGGTTCATATGGAGCTCCAGAAACAAATTCATCTTTGATCACTTATCTTTTTCTGTTCATTCTATCATTAACTCAACTATTGTTGCTTTATGTGAATGGGCAGGATCTGCTAGCAAGAAGAATGCTCTCAAGTTAGCACGAGCTTTAGAGGAAAATCCGATCAGAAGGAGCAGTGTTTGATAACTTCAAGTGGGATTTGGAAGTAGTTGTTTCATAATTCATAATACTTTTGTAGTCAGACTTTTTGGTTTTTCTAATTAGTTTATAGAAAATTTAATTTCCTAATACTATATGTATGGCCGGCTATGGTTCTCCTTTATATCTATGTCAACGGTGAATGACGTCAAGGACCTCTCTTCATCTTCATGGATATCTAGGAGAAGAAGGTTATACATCCCTAGTCTGGGAAATTCTATTTTTCTATCTACTAATTTTCATATAAGGATACAGTTCGTATCCTTCTTTTTGTACATATACTTGTTACTTTTATTTTATTTAATGAACAGGGTACATCCCTTGTTTTTATCATCAAAAAAAAGTCCCTTTATTAATTTGCCTCACACACCATTTGTCCCCATTGACCCCTTGGCCCCTAGAATTTTGAAAATAAGCACCTATATTTTTTTTTGGGTAAATGAAAGATTGTCATTAACCAATTGTAACTTATATACATGCTAATCCCAGGTAAATTCGGGTTAGCACAAAACTCCTTAGCAGAGGAAAATATAAGTTATAGAGCAATAAAGCACTTACATAGATAACTATATTTGATATTGGTGTCATTAATATTCAGTTAAAAATATCATGCATATTTCTAGTTATACTTATACTCTTGACCCCGGTGACCAAAATTTCTGGATCAATTCCCACTTCGAGGTATATATAATTTTAGATACTTCCCCCATATGTTGAGTTTAAGTTTACAAGGAACCAAAATGATTCCAACGTTGTATATGTACCCCACAATAAGCAGGGAAACACCTAAACCTATATTGGACATCAGCTACCCAAGGAGTCAGTGTACCTATAATGTCACGGATGCTTTCTGCCCTATGCGCTTCATCATATATAATTATACTAATTCCTTCAGGAGTTCTGTGTTGGGCCTAGAAATCGGACCACCGTGAGTGGGTTTGGGCTGGTTTAGGGACCGGCCCAATTAGATCCAGGCTGATTTTGGGAGCGGTCACAGGGTGCTATAGGCGAGAAGAGATGCAAGTTAATTGAACAGGAATAGGGAACCAATCCTTGGGTGTAGTAAGCTCGCCAGGTACCGAGCTGGTCAAGCCCAGACTCGTCCGGTCAAGCCCAGACTCGCCAGGTACCGAACCCTTCGTGAATCATAACCAGCTCAAGCACGTTGCTCTGGCCCATGGATCTGAAAATTAGCCTATTACTATTACTGTAGTTGGTTTTTTTTTGCCATGAAGAGCGATTGAATGCGAACATGCATCAGGAAGCCATTTAAGAAGAGGTGTAATATTAAGTACATTAGAAATAAGTCACAACAATTTAAACATTTATTGAATAATTTGAATAAAAAGATATTATCTAATGCTTCAACTATGGACGTACTGCAGAAACTCAAACCATATAATACATCAATTCAGTATAAATCAGCACATCATCAAAGCTCACAATAACTATTGTTCTATTGGAAAAATTCTCAGTTTTATATACAAAATCAAACAGCTAAACTAAAGTTTAACGAATATTCATTTTCAACGTATGGGCTTAATGCCATGGAGATCAAATCTGAAAAATAAAATGAAATTAATAACGAGCAACTTATTATTATATCACCTCGATCATCTCCGGCTTCACATTATTAATGAATGGTACACATGCATGAAGAACATCCCTCACGTTATTTGCTAATACATTTTATTCAGACTCATAAACTTATCCAGTAATATACCAAATTTACAAAAATTCTAAACACTTACATTTTTCTTCACCTTTCTTATTTTTTCGATGTAGGAAAAAACTAGAAAAATCTAACATCTAATCAAATACTATAATATATTGATATATGCGTCTGATGTATTACAAATCTATGGAGATGAATACTAATATAAATGTTAACCTCTTGTTGTAGTCTAGAAATAGTATATAAATTGTCATAATGTATATTACTAACTATTGCATTATACTTATCTTAGTATTTGGATGTGAGGTAATTCTGCGCATGTGAAATTCTAAGCGGTGTGGAAAGCTATTATATTTGCTCTTGACATTGGATGTGGGAAGATAGTTTTTGAAAAAGATGCATCGGTGATAATTAGAGATATCCATAATGGGGTGAAGCAACACTCGATTTTTGGACACTTTGTGGGTGATATTTAACGATGTTGCACATGACTCGAGGAATTGGAATTTTAGATAGTTCAACAAATAAAGAATATAACGGCTCATGTGTTGGTCCGAAGAGCTAAGAAAATTAATGCTTTTGCGGCATGGCTCAAAGACCCATCATCATTTTTACACAAGGTTTCGCAATATGATAAGGAGCATTCTTAATCCACATTCTTTTGCTGTGCTTTAGGGTTTTAGTTTGGATGTGTCTTAATATTTTTTCATTAAAAACTATTGTATTATAATAATTAAATCCTAGTTGAGAAAGTAATTTATGATATCTCTCATTCTGAACCTACTACTAATGCATTTAATATGAATATTAGTGATAAAATAAAACCATAATTAAAGCATTCATGTATCTTCTCTTACTAACTAATCAAATTCTCATCATGCACTACTTATTTCAGGATTAATCTACTTCCGTAAACATTCTACTTGGATATCAAGAGTTGCATAAAATTATGCTATGTATGGATGCTCAAATGCACAAAAGAAAATACTAAAAGAATCAAATGAAAAAAAATGGAGGAAGTGAGAATTTTGACAGTGGAGCCAGTCCCTCGATTATAGTAACTAGGATACCTCGTAGTAAACAATATTTCACAGGCGATAATTGAGAGAGAAGATTGTACTGCTTTTGTTTGGAGAAATGAACAAATCTACGACCGATTTCACCTCGAATTTATGAAAAAAGATATCAATTGATTAGTTATACAACTATGCAAATTCGTGGGGAGAAAAACTAATATGAATATCAATAAATTCATGGCGAGTGGGTGTTTGGGGCCTTTGTTTGAGTTCTCGTCATTGTTCTAAAAAAAATGTCGTGACGAGTGTAATGTTAGATGGCCTTCGAATGTTTTAGTCCCATATCGTTACTTAATATACGCATTAAATGCAAAGCATGTGTTATCGTACTGTAGTATATATAAGAAGAACAACTTGAACTCCTATCCAATAAATTATTGGGTCTGAACCCGACAGAGTCTAGTTTCCTACCGTAATCACGCCCATCGGAGTCCAAAGGCAAATACTAACGTGGAGTTTTCCGACCCGTTGTCACGCCCATCGGCGTCCATCGGGAAATACCAACGCGGTCCAGGTTCTCTCACTAAGAATACGAACCTGATCCTCATCGAACATCTAAACCCTGCAACTTTTTTATACGCTGAATGCTGCAGCAAATAATAGAAGGCAGAAGAGGGGAAGAAGGAAAAGGAAAAAAAAATTGAGAGATCTCCTCAAAAAATCCTAATTAAACTCTACTCTCGACCCAGAGCTTCGCTTCTCCTCACGCTTGCGGCCATGGCGTCCGGTCTTCTCTCGGACTGCGCTTCTTCTTCTTCTTGCTCGATTCGCCTTCATCAGTTCAAGGGAAAAAGCAGGGCCTTTGCTCGCCCGTTCGGATGCAATGGATCCATCTCCTTACCTTTGAGAAACCTAAGCGTCAAAAATTGTACCTTTGCATCGAATTCGACGGGTTGGAGTTTGTCCGCTGTCTCCTCAGGTATTCGTTTCGAAATTCTTGGAGATTTGTTTGGTTGTGTTCTCTTGTTGTTTTGGTCGAATGAGGATTGTTGGATAATTGAATTGGGATTACATAGACTTCATAATTTATTGTGCAAATGTAGAGATTTATTATGTTGAAAAATCGAATGGGGAAATTATTCTGCGTCCATGCTTCAAGATTTTCTTTCCCTTATTCAGTGATTTTGTATTGGTTCGTGAATGCTTCTTAGAAAACCGAAAATCTGATTTTTCCCCACCGTGAATTACCATGACTGCAATTTTAGAGAGACGCGAAAGTACAAGCCTGTGGGTGGCTTCTGTGAATTATTGGAAATTTTAATAATAATGCTTCTCTAACATTATTATTTTTTTTTGGAAAAAGGAAATAGATTGCCTATTTTTTCTTACATACGCTATTTTGACATAACACAGAGAAAGAAGAAAAGAGAACTTAAGTTTTGGTGACAGCAACCCACACGTTTTCATTACTGTCATTTTCTAAAAACTAAATACAAGAAGAAGTTAACAAACCTGTAAACGTGCACAACGTGCACAAGAGAAAACTGAAAATACACACTGTCTTTAAATAACTACCTAAATAACGATCTAACTAATTAATTTAACAAAGTAGATAAGGTTACCAGATTAATTCAATATTCACCCCCTTAATCTTGTTGTACTTTCTTCACATCTTTCAATCCTATCTTCTCACGCAACTCAACAAATCTCTGTCGACTAAGTGGTTTAGTCAGAATGTCAGCTAGTTGATCTTCAGTTCTAACATATTCCACTCCAATTTCTTCCTTCTGAATACAGTCACGAATGAAATGATACTTAATATCAATGTGTTTACTTCTGTCGTGATGTACGGGGTTCTTTGTAAGAGCAATGGCTGATTTGTTATCTACATTGATGATAGCTTTGACAAGTTCACTGCCCTTTAGCTCACTCAACAGACGCCTAAGCCAAACACCCTGGCATGCCGCTGCTGTTGCGGCCACATACTCAGCTTCACATGAGGAGAGTGCCACTACTCTCTGTTTCTGTGATAGCCATGTCACAGGGCTTCCGCCAAGAAAATAGATAACTCCTGTTGTGCTCTTCCGAGTAGGCTATGTCAGGTCTTGTATTAACTAGATATCTCAAACTCCCTATGACACTTCTATACAAAGAAACATCAACTGGAGGACTGACATTCACTTTGCTCATTTTAAGTCTCGGCTCCATGGGGATTTGACAGGGATTGCATTCGGCCATCCCAAGCTTCTCAAGTATCTTTAAGGCATATACTGACTGAGACAGTGTGATGGAATGTGCATTTTGCTTCACTTCAATGCCCAAGTAGTAGCTTAATAATCCAAGATCACTCATGTCAAACAACTTCTTCATCTGTTCTTTGAACTTGGCAATGTGTTCGACACTTGACCCAGTGATAATAAGGTCATCTACATACACACCAATCACTTGAATTTCACCCCTCAGTTCTTTCTTGTACACAGCGTGCTCCATAGGGCACTTGATAAACCCCAGTGATTGTAAGCACTTATCAAGTTTCGAATTCCATGCTCGAGGTGCTTGACGCAGTCCATATAATGCCTTCTTCAGTCTCAACACTTGTCCCTCATGGCCTTTGGCTTCAAATCCAACTGGCTGTGCTACATACACCTCTTCCTCTAGCTCACCATTTAGGAACGCAGATTTTACATCCATGTGATGTACTTCCCAGTTCTCCTGTGCTGCCAAAGCAATCAAGAGCCTTACAGTTTCAAGCCGTGCAACTGGAGCAAATACCTCATTAAAATCCACTCCCTGTTTTTGTACATAACCCTTCGCCACGAGTCGAGCTTTGTGTTTTACTATTTCTCCTTCAGGATTTTTCTTCACCTTGTATACCCATTTCAAGCCAATAGCACGGTGCCCTTTTGGTAATTCTGCAAATTCCCATGTGTTATTCCTCTCAATTGCTGCAATTTCTTCAGCCATGGCTTGTTTCCAACTTTCATTGCCTGCTGCTTCTTCATAATTTGCAGGTTCTTCTAAAGATAAGAAACATAGCCCTACCTCCTCATCCATCTCAACTGTGTCATTGTACACATCTTGTAGAGAACGATACTTGCGAGGCCTCTCTGAGCTTGTTGATGGTTCTCCAGCATCCTGTGCATGATTATGATCCACGGGAGTGTGAGGAGAAGTCACACCTCCAGGAGATTGCTCAATTTCTTGCTCATCCTCATCCAAATTCTGTGCACATTCCCCCTTCTCAGATTCGTAATGCACGGTGAAAACATCACGTGAATGAACTCCTGAATCTCCTCCTCCTTGTATATTCTTCCAATTCCACTCCTTATCCTCTTCAAATATTGTATCCCTGCTTACTCTCAACTTCTTTGAGTTAGGATCATAAACTCTGTAGGTTTTTGACCCTGGCTCATACCCCAGAAACACCATTGGTGTACTCCTATCATCTAACTTCTTTGTGTGTGGTTTTGTGATTTTCACGTGCACCAAACTACCAAATACTCTCATGTGGTGTACATTGGGTTTATGGCCAGTCCACTTCTCGTAAGGTGTTACGCCTTCAACACTTTTTGTTGGAGCTCTATTGAGGATATACACTGTTGTCTTCACAGCTTCAGCCCAGAATTCAGATGGAACATGTTTGCTTTTCAGCAAGCTCCGAGCCATTCCCACAACAGTTTGATTCCTTCGCTCGACGACTCCATTTTGTTGAGGGGAATATGGTGCAGTAAGATATCTTTTGATGCCCAAATGCTCACAATACTCATTGAATGCAGTGTTTGTAAACTCACCGCCTCTATCTGTCCACAGAGCTTGGATCTTTGCATTTGATTCCATTTCTGCTCCTGCCTTTATCTTCTTGAAGACAGCAAGTGCTTCATCTTTACTTCTTAATATCTCAACCCACATGTATCTACTGAAATCATCTACAATTAGCATGAAGTATTTGTTGCCTCCTAGAGTTGTTGGAGTAATTGGACCACAAAGGTCACAATGCACAAGTTGGAGTGGTCTTTCAGCCCTGAAGCTTGAATTATAGGGAAATGGTGTGCGATGTTGTTTTCCCACCACACACCCATCACACACTTGCACTACATGATCAATGACAGCCATTCCTGTCGTGAGTTGTTTTCAAGTTTAGAATATACAATCTATTTCTTGATCTTCTTACTCTTGCCAGCAGCTTTCTAGCTCTATCATACACCAACAAACAACCATCTTCTATCACAGTTTTGCATCCATTCTCATCCAATTGACCTAGACTCACTATATTGCTACGCAGTCTAGGTATGAAATAAACATTTGTGAAGAGTCGATGCTCACCATTTTGACACTGAAACATCACTGTGCCTTTTCCTCGAATATTCACAACAGAACCATCGCCAAACTTGACCTTCCCAGTCACACTTTCATCTAGTTCTGAAAACAGCTCCTTGCAACCCGACATGTGATTGCTTGCTCCAGTGTCAAGAAACCAAGCTGAGTTGTCGTGCACCACTTCTTCTTCTGCATTCAGCTTTGGCTTCACTTTCTCCTCATAGAGCATCACTTCCTCTGTTGTGATCTCCCTATGATTCTCACACTCACAAACTTCCGTCGCTAAGAGTGCTGGTTCTTCATCATCCTCTTGTGCCTCCACAAAGTGTGCCTTTTCCTCCTTCTTCTTAGATCGACATTCCGAGGCAAAGTGCCCATAGTTTTGACAATTGTAGCACCTTGCCCGCGACCACGACCACGGCCACACCCACGGCCACGACCGCGTCCGCTACTAGTTCCTCGTCCTTTATATGAATTGGACGAGCTCTCTCCTTCTCCTTTCACTTGTTTCCCCTTCCACTTTGCACTCGTCAACAGAACATGCTCTTCCTCATTATCACCATAGCCACGCAATCGTTCTTCATGGGTCTTGAGTGATCCGATGACCTCCTCAATTGTCATCGTGTTGTTCATGGGTCTTGAGCGATCCGATGACCTCCTCAACTGTCATCGTGTTGAGGTTGCCAAATTGTTCAATGGTAGATGCAATTTGAAGGAACTTGGGAGGGACTGCACGAAGAAGCTTCTTGACGACATAAGCCTCATCTATCTTGTCGCCTAATGCACGAATCTTATTGACAATAGTGGTTAACTTTGCACCAAAATCATCAACCGTCTCCGCTTCACGCATGCGAAGACCCTCAAATTCACTTCTCAGAGTCTGAATTTTTGCTTCCTTGACACGCTCAGCGCCCATGTGCATTGTCCTCAACATCTCCCATGCTTCCTTGGCCGTCTCCTTCTCAGCTAACACAAGTAGTGTCTCCTCGCTGATGGCTTGATAGATGGCAGCAAGAGCCATCTGATCCTTCCGCATTTCTACCTCATCGTTGGGGTGATCGGGCTCAATGGCATCCCATACACCTTGTGCACGCATATACACCTTCATCTTGATCGCCCATGCTGAGTAGTTGCTCTTTGTGAGCAGCGGGTACTGAAGAGAGACTGTCCCTTCTCTTCCAGTTGTCTTCAACGTCACTGTGTTGCCAGATCCGCTGCTTGAAGGTGTTGAGTCCGCCGGCATGATCTTTGGCATCAAATCCCAACCAAGCTCTGATACCAAATGTTGGAATTGATTCTCCTATTGATGAATACAACAAATCACACAGAGGAAGAAGAAAAGAGAACTTAAGTTTTGGTGACAGCAACCCACACGTTTTCATTACTGTCATTTTCTAAAAACTAAATACAAGAAGAAGTTAACAAACCTGTAAACGTGCACAACGTGCACAAGAGAAAACTGAAAATACA